GCATCTCCTGCTCTGTCACGCTCAGCAAATACCAAATATCACCAACTGCGAGCCCGGGGCAACCATCTCTGCAGGTCCCCTCAAGAACACCCCAGACTGCAGCCCAAGGGGAAGAGCCAGCACAGCCGTGGGGCGCACTGGGCAGAGCTTCCCCCTCACCAAGCCCCTGCACACCTTATCACCCACCTTCAAATGTGCCCTATGGGGGGGAGGGGCTGGCCCTTCTTTATAGAGGACTTAAAAGAAAGGATGAATGAGCTGCCCAAGGTTACCCAGTGGGGAGTGGTGGGGGGGGCAGAGCCTGGTTCTATCTTCCTGGCCATGACAAGTGTGGCCTAACCCTCTGTCCCTACCCTCTCTGACTCCTGCTTGGAGCTCAGTGCCCTGCATGCAGCAGGCACTCAATGAATGGGGAAGGGCATGAGTGAATAAAAACATCTCCCTACAGAGGGAGAGGCAGTGTGGCCCAGGCTGGGGTCCCAGGGTGGCTTCTGAGACCTCGGAAAGGAGAGAACTGAGAATAGGTCATCCACCTCCATCCTCAAGCCCACCTGCCCCAGCCCCTACCTGAGCCCTGTGGAGCTGCGCTGGATAGGATCCACTTGACCAAGCAGCACCGCATCAGGGCCTGGTGGCTGAGCCGTGACCTCTGCCACTTGACGCCCTCCTTCTTGCTGAGCGGTGTTCGTCCGGGGTCCCCCAGGAGGCTGCCGTCCGACGCCTTCATCACCTCCTGCAGCAGGAACAGGCAGAGCAGCCCTGAGCCCTTGCTCACAGAGGGGATCTCTGGATCATCTCCAGGCTGCCCTGACATCCCAGGTGAGACCAGCCTTAACCCCACCCGGGTTTGCCTTTGACGGTGCGTGCCAGGAGCCCCAGTCTTGGCTGGAGAATTCCCAGGGCTCTGCTGTCCCAAATGACCTCCGATTGCTCCCAGTACTGACCTTCCGTGCCAGAACTCTGTGGGTTTCTCCCACTCTACACTCTGTCCTGCATACAGTGGGGCCCTGGCATGACGAAGGCGGGGGTCCAGAGAGGGGAGGTCAGCAGTGAGCACATCAAATCCCCTGCCCTGGGG